TTCTAATGACACAGTGAAGGCCAAGGTCAAATGCTGGAGAAACAAATGGAGTGCTCCAGGTGAAAGCATAGCATGGCTTGCTCAACTGTGTGAGACAGTTCAAAGAACAAAGCAAGGATTTCTGCCTCTCTAAGGGGATTACATTCTGATTCAAGGAAACCCCCAAAAACAAGAGAGAACTCACTGCTGTTGAGTCAGAGTCAACTCACAGCTGACCGCCTCAGCAGGTTCCCAGAAGCTGTAAATCACACGGGAGGAGACTGCCCATCTTCCTCCCACAGAGCCATTGGTGGATTAGAACCTCGTGCCTTGGGTTGGGAGTACAACATCCTACCTATGAGGCCACTAGAGATAGGAGATAATAAACAAGGAGGATAATAATTATGTAAATTAAACAGTGTGTGATAATGTGACAAGTGCCACATGGTAAATAAATGGAAAAAAATAATAAAGCAGGAAGGACGGTGTCAGGAGTGTGGGAAATGGGACTCATAGCTGGATACACATTAAGTGGAAAGGATGCATATTAAAGAGACCTTGTTGAGAAAGTAGCATTTCAGAAAAGCTTCTAAGAGACCAGGGCAAACCAAGCAGAGAAGAGTGGAAGGGGAACTACAGAAAGATGGAACAGCCAGTGTCAAGGTCACAAAGTAGGGCCCTCTTAAGCTGTTCAAAGAACAGGCAACAGTCCTATGTGCCTGGAGCAAGGGAAGTGAAGGGGAAAGGGGTGAGGAGTTAGGCTCAGTATGAGTCCTGTGCTTAAGAAAGAGGAAGAGACACATAGAGGCAGCCACACAAGAGAGACTACCATATGACAATGAAGCTGTGTTGCAGCTGCAAACCAAGGAACACCCAGAAGCTTCAAGAAGCTGGGAGAGGAAAGACTTTCCCTGGAGTCTTCAGAGAGAAGGTGGTCCTGCCAACACTCTCAGTTCTGATTTCCAGCTTCCAGAGCAGTGGTCCAATGCATTTTAGTGTAAGTCATCCACATGTGGCATTTTACTACAGCAGCCTTAGGAAACGAATAGCTCATCTTGATCGATGTTTGTTAAGAGATGTACTGCATGCTGATAACCATTCAAGAGTGGTATCTAGGGTCCAAAATTTAAAGAGACACAGACGCCGACCCTGCAAAGGCAAAACTCTTGAGAGTTAGCATCTCCTTAAATTCTGCACTTTGGGGTGCGTTGCTTGTCTCATTCTAGTCCCACAGGAGAAGGTTGCAGGTTCAAGTTCACTTGTCATTGTTGTTGTTATGTGCCATCAAGTTGCCTGCGACTGATAATGACCCTATGGACAACAGTTCTGAATCCTGCTCTATCCTGTGCCAACCTTACTGTCTCTGACACACCTACTGCCAAGTTCACTTAGAGGCAGAGAATCTCTGTTACTGGATATTTGACTACAAAATAGGTTGGCATTTTTAATCCCCAGGTCCACCATCTGCTACCTGCAATACTATCCTCTTCTATCTCAAATTATTGATGCTACTAATGCACAGAATTTGGTGGCTAAATGGTAAGGAGTTCACTGCCAAGCCAAGCAGGAGCAATAACTTTGTAAATTATTACCTAACTTGGTAGGGGCTGGAGAGCATTATGATGAGTGAATTAACTCAGTCACCAAAGGATAAATATTGTCTAAAACCATTATTGTAGAATGAGTATAAGGATCTTGGAAGGATAGGAAAGGCTGGAAGCAGAGGGATGTGGATGTACAATTGGGTTGTACAATTTGATGGGTGAGGGAAATGGAAAGAATTTGTTCAAATCTGCATTTGAGTTTTGTAAATAAACTAGTGGAAAAGCAAAAAAAAAAAAAAAAGAAAAGAAAACACCCAACAAAAGAACAAAAGTGCTCCAAGAGAGAAAAATGGGTTCTCTCCTCCAGTGTGATTTACTGCCTCTGAAAACCCACTTACTGGAGGCTTAGCTACAAGTTGGTTCTTACTTGACATGACAACATGACATTGGTTCTTACATGACAACAACAACAGAAGTCCCAGCTGGACAAAACAACCGCTAGGTGGTGGGTCCCTCTTTTCTTTGATTATCTTGGCCACCTCCCACCCCAGTCCAATAGGCAGAGGTGGGGGGAAGATGTCATTTCATTTGCCCAAGTCTTTCCGTCTCTAAGCCTGCTACCATTGTGTGGATATGGCTGAGAAGCGGTGTTACTGAAACCCAAGAATCAGTGCTCAACAGCCTGTGACTCCGGGCTCACAGACATGATTGAAGACCTACTTCTACGGCCGAGCGCACAAGGAGAATCACTCAGGGCTGATGTGATAACAGAGGCCAAGGAGCAAGCCCTTTGTAGAAAAGAAATGTTTCTTGGAATGAGCTTGGTTGGAGCTTATCTCCCCCACAAGGAACACAAAATACTTTGAAGATTGCAAATGTTTGAGAGAATATAATTGGATCCCTGAGGAATCTGAGGGGCAGACTGAGACTGGCAGACAACGAAGTGAAGATTTTGGGTCCTGGGTCAGCGCCCAATGTCATCAGCTCCTGTGGCAATTCCATCATGTTATCTGCCTTCCCGGGACCACACTTACCTCTATTCCCCAACTGACAAATGAGCCTTAAATCCACTTACTCCGTAAACCTACATCACCTGTTCCCACCTTTTCCTACAAATATCACCTGGGCCAGGGTTGGTATCTTCGACAAGAGAGAAAGGAAAATTAACAGCAGATACGAGAGGAAAAGGACAATGTAAACGAAACCCACTCATTTTACACTTAAGAAAATCCAATGGCTTTAAGCATTTCAGTACAGATAAAAACTCTTTGAGATTTTGCCTAGAGTCATGGTTAAGCCCATATGAAGCCCTTGATAATGAAATTTAGTGAAGGGTGCTGTTTTAGCTTCAATTATGATATCTTAAGTTTGAGAAATTGGGAAAGGATTAATTTCTTAAGCACAGCATAGTAAACATATTTAAGGTGCTAATTATATCCCTCTGAACACTTTTCATTACAGTCAGATAAAGGATATTTGAGCAGAAAAAGTCATTGGTTTAAACTCAAATCTATGTCCCTTGGACATTATGTTTCCTTTTATTTGTTAGGTGCTAACAGTTTGTTTCCTCATATCCCAAGTGTCCAGAGCTAAAAAGTGGGGTTGGCATTCTCTATGTTCTTAAAGCATTCTTTCTCAATTCTCTTATTATCCAATAAAGAGGAAAGAGCGCAAACAACACCAACAAGCTCAGCCCTCCAAAGGCAGCCAGCCAGTTCTGAAGCTTCTCCTCACATTTGGGATCTAGTGACCTCCTCCTCGCTCATCAACGTTACTGGCAAGTGGCTGACTCTTTTTTTCTTCATCCAAAGCACTGTCACCACCTCGGTGACTTTAAAATTATATTAGTCCAAGGTTCTGCTTCTCAGAGTGCTAATTTCCAATGGACAGGCTCTCACTCCTCCATGTTCTGATATGTCATTGAGTCACTTTCATCTCACAGCAGCCCCGAGTACGACGGAAAGAAAGAATTCCTGGTTCTGTACCGTCTTCACAATTTTCTTGTTTGAGTCCACTGTTGCAACCACTATATTCATACATCTCCTTAAGGGTCCTCCTCTCTTTGCTTTACCTTCCATTTGACCAAAGTGATGTCTTTCTCTAGGATCTAGTCCTCTTGCCAACATGCCAATGTCTGTGAGACACTGGATCCCCATCTTCACATCAAAGGTGCAGACAAGCTGTACTGCTTCCAAGAGAGGTATGTTTATTTGTCTGCCCATCCAATTGTCTCCCTCATATCTACTCCTCCATAGCTATCCACATTACCGAGTTCACTGTCTAAATGCAGAGATGTGAGGCCCTGTTATACGTAGGATAAAGCCAAGGATAGAAGAGGAAGGATGTGATTGAAGACTCCCTTGCCCGATCCTTGGTTATTAAAAAGAACTGCTGCTTCTTTATTCACATCAGTTTTAATCTTGTCACCCAGATACTCAATCACAGAATTACTTGCTGATTGCCCCCAAGGCAGAGATAAACCCTGCTTCTTTGAACACTCACCCAATTCACCCAGCACAGGTCTAAATGCTGCAGGTTCTTTCTAACAGTTCCCCAGGATGCACTTTCTCTCTTACTGCAAGACTCAATAAAACCCATCTTTGTTTGATCAAAGGTACTCTCTCAGGGCCTCTTTCACTATTGGTGACACCATGCTAAATGCTGGCACATAAAACTTAATACTCCATTCTATCACCACAAATGGAAAAGGAAACAAGAATTAAGTAATAGTAATACGATATATGCAAGAATGTGGAGGAATCTCCCCAAAGACATAGGGTATAAAAAGTAAGACCCCCCCAAAAAAATGTATGCTGTAGTGTATCAATGCCTGAAAAAACAGCACTATTTAGCAACATAAAGAACTAGTCTGGTTATACAATAGGACAAACCAGTGCTTAATATAGTAGTCAGGATTATGGCTACTACTACTACTTGGGGAAGTTACTCTGATAAGAATGTATACATGCTGGTGTTTCTGGGTTCAGTAGAGGTCTATATTTTTGAGTGACAGTTACACAGAATCATGAAGGCATGTGATTCGAGCCCACCAGCTGCTCTGCAGGAGAAGGATGGTCAATCTACTCCCAGGCTACCCACCAGAGCATCAGCTATGGGTAATTTCTGACTCAATGGCACACAACAACAACAACAAAGACTGACACTTTATATTCTTCAGTTGCACCATGGAAATAAATTGTAACCACTCTGTTATATATTTAATATTTCCCAATAATAGACAAGAGTACTAAATATGACAAGAAAATAGACAGTTTCTTTCAATTGTTATCATAAATCAATGCACTTGATGCCAATTACCAGCAAGTAAGATGCCAGGTTTTAGCCTCTGAATGTGTAAAGATTATTAATACCATTATGTGGACATAATGGTAACCTGGAATTCCTATCTCAGAAGGCTTTCTCCAAAGGGCCCAGGTGTCCCCAGCTCTATCCCTCGGCGCCGTCCTCCCTCAGTACCTTGAAGGATATTTCTGTTGTCATGGTGAACCCATGGGTGATGACGGGCTCCTCTTCTGCAGTCCGTCCCTTCCAGCAGTCCAGCTCCACGCAACGGCAGCCAGACAGGAGCACTTGACGATACATCTCTACAGAGGAGTTCCCAGCCAGCTGGCCAGCTGAAAAACACCAACAAAGCAAACTCCACAATCTCATGAAGGAAGACAGGCAGTGTGGTTTCCTGGGAAGTTTCTCTAATAACAAGAAGACCAAAAGTTATAGTGTTGTTGTTGTTGTTGTTGTTATGTGCCGTCGAGTCGTTTGCGACTCATAGCGACCCTATGTACAACAGCCCTAAACCCTGCTCTATCCTGTGCCAATCGCATTGCCTCTGACACACCCATCCCGAATACCCCAGTGACTGAGTCAATCCACCTCATAGAGGGTCCGCCCCTCCTGCGCTGTCCCTCTACTCTACCCGGCATGATGTCCCTCTCCAAAGACCTGTCCCTCCTTGCAACATGTCCAAAGTATGTCAGACGAAGCCCCAGAATCTTTGCCTTCAAGGCGTAGCCTGGTTTAACCCTCTCTAGGATGAATCTGTTTGTTTTCTTGGCAGTCCATGGTACATTCAATACTCCTCTCCAGCACCACAGTAGTTCTTAGTATTTTCTCCACCACAACATGCCAGAAGGTCACACAGACCTGAGTGTGGTAATTGTTCCCTAGATGCAATTTAAAAGACAAGAAAAAGTAGAGAGGAGAAGGGCCTATAAAGATGACAATTCCTTGTGGGTTTTTTAAACTGATTGACACCGTGGTTGTAATAATGTACTTGAGCATATAGGAGATGATGAAGATGATGTAAGATAGGGAAAAATTCAGATCAGTTCTGCATAGGGTGACTAACATGTTGTGGGTTACTTAGTGCCGTAGAGACACTAGGCAACTCATAGCAAACCTATGAATGAAAGACCTGGACACTTGTATAACTTTCATCTTTCCTCCAGGTTCATAGGGTTTCCAGAGGCAAGCTATTTTGGAAGTGGATGCCACTCCTGCTTCCAAGCTTGTTTTAATCGAGGGGATATTGTTCATGATGTACTGCTGTGTACCATCGAGTCAGAATGGACTGATAGCTGACCATCTGGTGGGTTTTCAGAGGCAGCTAATTACATGGGAGGAGACTGCCAGTCCTCTTGGAGTAGCTGGTGGATTCCAACTGTGTACCTTCAGGATTGCAGCACAGCTTCTTGCCACTAGGCCACCAGTGCTCAATTGTTGATAGATTCCTTCCAGTTGTGGCCTAGTGGGTAAGGAGTTGCTCTGCCAACCCAAGGGCAGGTGTTTCGAATACACAAGCTACTCCTCGGGAGAAAGACTAGCAATCTCCTCCCGTACAGTTTACAGCCTCCGTAAGGCTAGAACAATGAACTATGTTGACTTCATTGCAGTCAACACCAACACAGCAGACTAGTCATTGTGCTACTGGTATAAGATTAGACATACAGACCGATGGCATGGAATTGAGAGTTCAGAAATAAACACTGATGTTTCTGTTCAACTAGCTTTCAATAAAAGTGCAAAGAAAAATCAATGCAGAATGAACATTGTTTTCAATAAATGATTCTGAAACAACTAGACAGTCACACGCAAAAGAATGACATTATGTTCTTACCATAAATGAATCAAAATTTATTCTAGCTTTTCTAAAATACTTAGAACAGGGACAAATCTTTCTAAGTTATGACACCAAAACCAAAAGCAAAACATAGCTAAATTCCATCAAAATGAAAAAGTTCTGAACAGAATTGAAATAGTGTCAATAGTTAAAATCTACCAGGTGCTCTATGGGAGAAAGATGGCCAGTCTTCTTTAATGAAACTTTATAGTTTTGTAGGAAAAAGGAGAGGATTAGCAGAAATGAGGATTATGGGGAATAAGTGAGACAAGTGCAATTACATTGTGGGCTTTAATTAATGTGTTGCTGTTAGATGCCGTCGAGTCAAGTATGACTCATAGCGACCCTAGGAACAGAAGGTCTGAACCCTGCTCTATCCTGCACCATCTTCACACTTCCTGACACACAACAGCCCTTTTGCAGCAGTCACCGTGTCAGTCCACCTGGTTGAGGGTTTTTCTTTCCTTTGCTGACCCTCCACCCTTCTTAGCATTATGTCCTTCTCCAAGGAATAGCCCTTCCTAGCAACATGCCCAAAGTATGTGTGGTAAAGTCTCGTCATGTCTGCCTCCATAAAAGCACTCCGGCTGCACCCTCTCCAAGACATTATCTGTTTATTTTCTTGGCCGTCCATTGGATGTGTAATAAACGTAATAAAACAAAATGTGGATGAATGGTTAAATGAAAAATCAATTTACTTTGTAAACTTCCAAGCCAATTTTAAGAAATGAGAAAAAAACCCAAGTTGATGAATAGTTGCCATAAATTGTGGTCCCTACGCACTATCAAGTCAGAACTGACTCGTAGCTGATCCTCTGGTGGGTTTTTAGAGGCTATAAAACCCAAGGGAAGAGACTCTCTTTCTCTTGCAGAGCAGGTGGTAGATTCAAACTGTGTACCTTTGTGTTGCCACTGCAATTTCTTACCATAAAAAAAAATTAACAGCCTTTGGGGACCTAATGGAAACTCATCATGAGTCAGAAGGGACCTTGGTGACAATGAGTAGAGGGAAAAATAAAGGAGTGCTTGGGTACTGCAAATGACGAAGGGTTTGCCTACTGCAGCCCAAAATGCTGGCCGTTTGAACCCACCCAGAGGTTCTTGGAATCCCTTTAAAAGATGTCACAGCCTGGAAAGCTTTATGGAACACTGATCTCTTCTGAGACACACAGGGTGCTCACAAGTTAAAAACCAATTCTACAACAACAGGAATGATGAAGTGATTATTTTAACTTAAGGGCACCTGAAAAGTCTCAGGCCAGAAATGTGTAAGACATAAAAAATCCAGATCACTCCTATTTTATTTATGAACTCTATGGAAGAAATCAATTTCAAGATAAAGATTAATAGTACGCTATTTGTGAGATCAGCCTACCATCAACACACACGCTGTCATTTGGTTTGGGGGTTTTTGTTTTTATTTTCCACACTAAACCTTTCTCTTGGATGTAAATGCTATAAATTTACACCAGAAGAAAATTATACTAGTTAAAAGATGGCCCATTAATGGCAACTGTCAAAATGTCTCTGAAATGGGCAAGATCTCTCCTGTGTGTAGAGAGACATGAGACAAAGAAAATAAGGTTAAGTTGACTGGTTTAATTTTTTTCTTTTATATGCATGTCACAACAGTCAACCATCAGCATAACAAAAGGATGACATTCTCCAGTTCTATAGAGCCCCAGAGTCAATGCACTAAATGGCTGATTAAGTAGGTTTGCATAATCATTTTTCTCTCTGGGAAAATAGGGTAATTTTAATGCACACACGTGTTTGCAAAATCATAAATGCTGACAAAAGAATCCAGAGAGTTCCTGATGCTGGGTAATCAATTTGCCATTTATAATTACCTCAAAGTTTCTCATCATGACAAAAGATTTACTTGACGGCCTTTGCTGTACAAAGGATAAGGAGACAGTGAAGAGAAACAATGATAGAGCTGATAGAGCTCACTGATAGAGCTAAGTTATTCTTATATTTAACAGCTAAAGGAAGTGAAGAATTAAAATTATGGTCAAGTTCACTTATTAAAGATGCTTGCACCTGCAGAAAATGAGTCTTCTATTAAAGAACAGAACACATTTTCTTGCATACCTCTAGGAAAGTATTTCCAAGTACGTCCCTGACTGAATCTAATACTAGTACACACTCCACAATTTCTAAGTATTGCTTATTAATACTTTGTTGAGGATTATCAATTTCACAAGTGATATTACCATAGATTCATAAACAGAGCAGAATGAAGGAGATAGATAACTAAGCCATAATAAAATATTGTATCTTAAGAGTTAGTTTCTAGAAACATTTCTCTGGGTTTCCTCACAAAAGGCTTCTTGTCATCCATTGAGCAGGTAGAGTTCTATGGGCTTTATGTGTGTTGATGAGTTAACATTTTGAAAGGGATTGTAAAACATGGTTTGAGTTTGCAAGAAATGAAATGTTAAGTAGGGATCGAATGATACCTTCTCAAAATTTGTGGTGGGGGGCATATAATGAATTATGCGTTGAGTTGACTATTAAAACGTTAAGGCCTGAGTCCCCCAACTGCTCCATGAGAGAAAGATAGGCCTTTTTTTAAGGATCTGTAGCCACAGAAACCCAATGAAGAGCTGCCATGAGATGAAAGTGACTCAATAGCAGAGGGTTTGTTTTTTTTAGGTTTTAAAAATATTTCTTATAAATCGTAAGCTCTCTACCTATAATATAGGAAGTGCAACGAGAGTGTTCCTTTAGGCAAGGATGGTGACACTTCATCTCACAGACTTTGTGAATGTTTTCAGGAGGGCCAGTCCTTTCAAAAGGACATGCTGGGAAAGGTGAAAAGTGCATCAACATAGTAACTATAGCAATGAGCTCAAGCATGGTGTGTGGATAGCACCTGACAGAGCAGGGTTCGGATGGGTTGTTATAGGGTCACCTATGGGTTGTAGTTGACTCATGGCACCTAACAACAACAACAACAACAACATACATGTGGTTTCTGCATGTAGCATGATGTTGCTTATTAATTCATTTTCACAATTTTTGATCTCTTTATATGATGAGTTAACGTTCTCAAAGAGATTGTAAAACATGGTTTGAGTTTGCAAGAAATGAAATGTTATGTAGGGATTGAATGATGCCTTCTCAAAATTTGTGTTGGGGCGTTTAGTTAATTATGTGTTGAGTTGACTATTAAAAAGTTAAGGCTTGAATCCCCCAACTGTTCCATGAGAGAAAGATAGGTCTTCTTTTAAAGATTTTGTCACAGAAACCCAATGAAAAGTTGTGAGGTATGACCTACACTGAAGGTTATGTAGTTTTTAATCTTTATCAGTAACTTCTTGATTTCATTTTACTTGGGTCCACAACTACACCCAATGGAGGCAGCAATAAGGAAATCAAACGATTTATTGCATTGGGCATATCTGTTGCAAATGACCTCTCCTAGACTAGAGTGCTTAAAAGATGTCACTTTGAGAGCTGAGTTGCACCTACACCTTCCCCAAGCTTTGGTAT